CACACACACACACACACACACACACACACACACACACACACACACACACAAACACCATCACATACTCTGCCAAACACCTATCTTCATCAATCAGGTTTGTGCACAGTTTAATAAAAAAATATTGACTTTCAAGTGATTTTTTATCAAAACACCATTTGTACTGGGAATTCATGCAAGTCTGCCACCTCTACTTCTGCAGCCCCTGTGAAAGGAGACCCCCTCCACCCCCCCACCCCCCGAACTCTCTCTTGGCTTTATAACTGATGATCTGCAGCCAAGGGGAAACAAATTGAAAATCAATGCGGGTGGCACAACCGAAATGAGAATGAGGCATTACATGAGGTGGTGGCGGAGGGGGGGAGTGGGGGGAGGGGGGGTCCTGCAACCCTCTCAGGGCAAAACAGTGAAGGGTGCGAACGCTCGAGTGCAGGGGAAACTTAGTCCCAGCTGTCCTCCACCTCGCCGACACACTTAATTTATGGTGTACAAATAGGCTGGGATCAATAGTTTTAATCTAGAGTTAAATGTATTGACTTTGGCTCGTGTTTCTCACACCTGGTCACTGACTTTTACCCCCCCACACACTTTTCACTTCACACACCCTCTGTCTACAGATGTGGGCAATGACCCCTACTGTCAGACAGGCAGTGTGAGGGTTTCACCTGGGAGGAGGAAGGGTTAATACTTTAAGAAATACTCTGCCACCTTTCTGTTCTGGAGAGGTGATTCTCCCAACAGGGACTGAATTTCACACAAACTACGACTGACACGCTCATTATGGGAACTGAGAATACAGTTTAAGACCACAAGGTATAAATAGCCAATATGAAAGAATAGCCTCCAACACGTGCCTGTGACATAAACATCATCATAACAACTCAAAGTGTCTTCACAGAGTTATTAGAAAGCTTCAAAACCACTAAACCATACACGGCAGCGGGAGTGACTCAACATCCCTGTCGCTAAAAACATTACTTCTATCTGTGCTCACATGGTGTAAAACAACTGATATTACCTCACACTACATCTAGGAGATATGTTACTAAAATAAGGCCATGGTTTTACACACACCTCACACCTCTTGACATATGAAGCTCAAGTAACCTGACTCCGTTTAATAAAAGCACAACAATAAGTCCTTTGTTGTGAACAGTAGAAACAGAGATCAATCTTTTTGATTAATCCATCCAGTGAAGCTGTATTAAACAATGATCACAGCTACAAATGTTTGATTTAACAAAATACAGTTAATCACTGAGGTGTAAAAAACATTTATTTCTTTTTAAATTTAGTTCATGACATTTGACGTGGTTTTATATGCAGTCAAATGTTTTGCAGCAATATCAACAGACAGCTGCTGCATCATGAAACGCCTCCGGGCCCATTTCTGTGGAGGAGAACGCCATCTTGTGGAAGGAAACTGGAATTACTTTATATTTTCTTACCGTGAAGCTGTCTTCTGCTTGGAACTTGTTGTCAACATAAATGCAGACCCTGTCAAAGTCTTTCATTTCCTTACTGGACTCAATGTTCCTGGGAGGAGCAGAGCACAAGGGTAAAAATATTGTATTTTTTTAAGAAGTAGAGGAATCAATAAGTTTGTTTACTCGAAGTTTGTGAGTTTTCAGTTTGATTAGTTGACAGTATTTAAATACTCCTTTAACTTAAGGCAGGGCTATTCAATTGGCGGCCTGCGGGCCACATCCAGCCCGTGAGTGACCAAAGTTCGGCCCGCCAATTGGTTTATTCATCTTTTAAGTCCAAACCCTCCGGTTTTCTACTTTAATTACTCTAAGTTCTTTTAGTTAAACAGAGACGTGTGATATCTACAGAAACGTCATAATCTTGGCTAGAAGCTGGTAAAAACCATTTCTATAAACAGTCAAGACAGTTAAACCCACAAGCAGTTGAAGATAAAATGATGAAAGTGAAAATAAAATTGGTTTAAAAAAAATTGGCAATTCAGAGATGAAATAAAGAGAACAGGACTGTGTTTTTACACCCAGGCTGAAATAGCTGGGTGAGAGTGTTTTTCCCCATGCAAAATCACGTAAACTGCCCCTCACTGAAATATCTGTACTATATTTGTGCTCTTCTGACTGGCTTATTATTATGCATTTTAAATGTTTCAATGTTTAAACTGAGATGCAATTATGTCTGTGCAATGGTTGGAATTCCATGTTTTTTTTTTTTTACCTCAGGGAATGTTTTGTCACTCTGGGTAGCTGGGTTGGACTTTAGCTCCCCCTCCTGGGCGGTATCAGGGTTACCCCTGGTCCATTTCTGAGGCCCATCTCATAACATAATTTTAAAACAATTAGACACTTCTGGATGCTTGTTTTTTTTTTAATTTTATGGTTGGTTTTGTTTAATTGGTTTATGATTTCCTAGAGGTTTTCGTCCTTCTGTGCAGCTTCCTGGTAAAGTTTAGGTGATTGTCAGCTGAGTCTCGGGGAGGCTCCTCCCATGACAGTCACATTTTTGTTTGTTTGTTCCTTTCTGCGTTTGTGGTAAGCTGGGGAGGGGGTATTCTGCTACCTCGAGCCTGGTACGCCACGAAGACATATTTGATGGTCAGTTCACCTGTCTGGGTTGTTGTTGAGGTCTGAGAGCTGAGATTTGCTGTCTAACAACGTGTATGTCATCACAGGAGGACTAGATTTATTTATCCAAGATAAGATTCTGATGGAACATACCCAGCTAATGCTATCATATTTTTTTTTTTTTTTGGGGGGGGGGCAGAACTTGTGTTTACGATACCTTGTTAAATTTTGGACTCTTAAGATTTTTAAATTTTGCCGTTTGAATTTTTGACTTTGTTTGCGCTGTTTTACATTGCCCTTGTTCCCTTTCCATTGGTGTTGATGCAGTTATGGTTATAGATATGCAAATGTTTCTTTCATATTTTTTACTGATTAATGGATAATCAGGAGGAGGGACTGTGATGGAAGGATATCTTCTAACTCCCTAACTGCATATTACCATGACATGTCCTGTTCTGTATCTCTTGATAACTGCCATTATATGATCTGTTTCTCATGGTTCTTAAGATAATGTATGTACTAATGTAATCTTATGGCCCATTTACTTGTAACTATGTCATTGGTTCCTGGATATCTCTGATGCTCTTATTTTGTTAGCAGGATGTATATATTGTCTGTTTCCTGTTTCCGGAGCAGCGTGAGCTTGACAGACGTTTTCGATTCACATCTGTCCAGCTCTGCTCATTCTCTGCACATGCATCTTTCTATTAAATAATCTGAGACTGAGACCACACAGACCACTTTGTTTATCTCCCGCATCTCTGCCCTGGCGAAACGGTGCCACGACAGGAGGCATAATATGTTCTTTTTATTTTTGATAATGTGTAATTATCACTACTTTTATGGGGTTCTGTTTGTTGTATTCATGGTTAAATACAGCAAAATAAACTATTTCAAAGGTAACAGATCTTTGTAATACTTGGTTTAATTACATAAGGACTTTAATTGCTGGATGTTCGGCTCCTCAGCTGTTGACCGGCAGTAACTGTGGGCCCCGGAGCAATTTAGTTGAATAGCCCTGACTTAAGGAATCTGTCACACTTATTTGTTTTATTAAAATTTACTCTAAAGTACACCTATGTGCTTATGTTAGCTTGCTGAATCATGTACATGAATCAATATAGAACAATTATCAGATTAACATGCTGAGGGTTGCAGTTCACTTCAAATGCATAAATACTGTACATCCATTTTACAGGAAAGATATGAAAAATAAACAGCTTAGTAAACATGGATAAGGGTCTGCACATGAACCCTACCAGAAGAAGTTTTCTGCTTGACCCATGTTGACCACGTAGTCTTTCCCTCCCACCTCCTGGAAGTGCAGGGCGATGAACTGAGGCTTGCATTTCTGGACTGTCTATTGAAAAAGAAAATATGTTGAGTTTAATGACCTGCAATAGCTAACATTACAGATCACTGACATGTAAAAAGGCTCTTCACTGTGTTAAAGTCTGCTGTTAGACTCCAGGTTTTTGTGTTTGTGCTTCTGTGTTACTCCTTGTGTTACAAACTGGTGCATAGTATCTGTCTTTCTGGAGGAAGATGAAATTATTGTGTGAACTGGAAGGTCACTAAAGCAATGAGGCTGGCAAACAATAAAAATGAGTATGATTTTTATGTCTTACCTGGAAAATCCTGTTCACAAATGAGAAAAAATGTCCAACTGATAAAAGCTATTAACTATATCTACCAATACAAAATGTTTAAACTTACCTTATATAATTCTTGTAACCACCCATTTTGAATTTCACCCACCTATGAAAGAACAAAATATAAAGTAATAAATGTATCATTTGTTAATGTCTCATTCAGTCTGGAAATATCAATAACTTCTTGTGTTATTTTGATTAAATTTTCCTTTCCTTTGTCAATGTCAACATCAAAACTGCAAAATGACCATTTTTATCTCAGGTTTGTTGGTGTCCAAAAAACACAAACACGTCTTCTGTATTTTTTGGAATTTGTCCTTTTGAACAAATATTTGTTGTCAATTTGTTTTTCCAAAATAGGCAACTGCTGTTTGAGTGTGGGAGCACACAAACAGAAGAATGTAACGAAAAAAATCTTTAGACACTTGTAACTCATTTTCAACATTTCTGAATTTTGTTTTTATGGCAAACAAATCAGGACAGTCAAGTTCATGAGGCAGCTTGTATCCTGTGTAATATACACTGGCTGGCCAAAAAAAAAAAAACATTGTCACAAAAAAAAGTTCACACACTAATATTTTGTTGAACCACCTCCTAATTCTAATTATCCTGCTCCCAGCCAACCACTGCTCACTATTTTTAAGTGTCACTTGCGAACGGGGTGGGGAAGGGTGACAGCGGTAAGAAAAATGCATATTTAGCAATGAGTCACTCTTGGATTTGAATCAGTACCTTTTATTTTTATATTGTTTTTTTTTTTGTTTTTTGTTTTGTTTTAAGAATTAAAGGAATATTCTGGTAATTTAGTGATATTTTCACAGTTGTCGTTTTAACTAGCCTTGAAATAAAAGCCTGAGTCCTCAATGTCCGAGACCGAGACAAGACCGAGTACAAATGCAGTTGAGTTCAAGACAAGACCATCAAAAAGTGGTCTTAAACCAGTCTCAAGACCTGTCTTGAGTACTAAAACACTGCGATGTGGATCAATGTATTGTTACACCCCTAAAAGTAGATACTCTCTTTTTATTATTGCAGGATTTCATGTCTCTGACTAAAAATTAGGTAAAAAGAACCTCATGTGAACAACAACACATTGCGTAACAAGACAAAACTCAAAAGCAAAGTCTGAAAACCTAAACACACCCTAGTATGATTCATCAAATTGCAGAGCTATCTTTAGCAGAAGAACCTTTAAGCAAACATCTTCTTTGTTGAACCTTCGTTGGCCCAATCTTCTTCAGTTTCAGTTTGCTGAAGTTTGCAGACTTTCTTGTTTCGCAGCACTTGTGAAAGCTTGCCACAATATCTTCAACTGAACCTGCACTGAGCCATTACAACACGATGAATATAGATTTTTGGTTATATATTTTGTTTTACATTTGCTGCAATGAAGAGGATTGTTGCCCTGCTCTTGCACATGAAGCAGTTTTAGTCACCGTTTGACTTCAAGTTCATGTCTGACCTATTGATTGCAAGCTGCCCAGGTCCTGTGTTTGCAAAACAAGCCCAAATTATCAGCCCTCTTCCACCGTGCTCAACAAGTGATATGAGGTTATTGAGCTCGGAGGCTGTTTCACCAACTGTGACCCTGTCATTACAACCAAACATCTCTTTGGTCCGATCTGTCAAAAGGACTTGTTCCGGTCGTCATGTGGTTTGTTCAGATGAAACGCTGAAAAAAACTAATCTAGCTTCTTAGAAAGGTTGCTCCTGACATCTCTAACAATCCTAAATTTACGTTGTAAACAAGATGAACATGTCCTTCAGTCTTTTTGACAGTGTCATTATATTTGAACCTTCTTTATATTTTCTTGCAATATTTCAACACAAATAAAAATGAACATAGTATAATATACGCTGGCTTTTTAAGTAATTGCATATTTCAAATTATAGGTAGCAGGAGGTTAGGACCCAGGAGTGCAGGGGACACAAGGAGCTCTAGTTCAAGACTTACAATCTGATTTAAACAAACTCTGACCTGGCGTACAAAAAAACTTACAAAAACACTTGAGGATCGTGTCATGGAACGAGCACCAATGGCCTGAGGAGAACCAGACTGTGGTACTGAAACCAATAATGCACAGCTGGTGAGTAATGAGACATAGGCTGAATACACAAGACTGGGGTAAACAGAAAAGGGAAGACACCTGAGCTAAATGCTGACAGGTGTGTTGCTGTGGAACAGGTGTTGGGGTTGGGCAATATTGGCAAAAAAATTAATCACGATTAATTGTGGTTTTTAGCCAATAATGATTAATTTGATGATTAATCTCCTGGAGTCCCTGGACACCCTTATGTCACATGACCAATTTAGTGGGAAAGATTTGCTCTTCAGAAAAATCTGTTCCAAATTGTGTCAAAATTGCAGACTTATGACTTATGATAAATAAATCACAGAACTTTTTTTTAATGTTCGTCATGTTTGAAGCGGAGAGGACCACCGAGCAGTCAGTCCGTCTGGTGGTATAAACGATATTAATCGTCAAGCACCAAAAAATAATCGATTAATGTTTTTCTGACGGTTAATTGCACATGATACGATTATACCCAACCCTAGTGGGCTTGAAAGGCTGACTGAGTGCAGGAGCTGACCTGAGGGAAGGTGGACAAATAGAGGCAACACTGGTAAAATACAGGTAAACAAAACAAAACCTAAATATTACAAAACAGTAAATAAATCTAACACAAAAAGCTAGAGGGCGGAGGTGGGGCAAGATGGTGGAGGAGTGAGACGTGTGTCGCGTGGGCTCCTGCTCCGACTTGTTCTGTTTGTGGTTCTATACTAAATGTCTTTGCTATTTTGAACATTTGGTCCGTCCGGACTCGACCCCTGAGTGATTCCTGCCTGGAAGAGTAGAAAAATGGCAACAAACTCGAGGAAAGCCAAACATTTTAGCTCGACGGCTACTAGGCCTGACGCCGCTTTGGAGCAGACTGCAGCTAAGACCGGAGCTTCGGCGCCATCCTCTCCCTCCCGCAGCGAGGCGGACGCACTCTCCTTGAAGTCTGACATTCTTGCCGCTATAAAAACCGATCTCTCAACTGTGATCAAATCCGAAAAAGCTAGAGATATATTTATTCAAATTAAGTGTTGGAGCAGCAAAAACTAGTGGCCCTCGAGGACCAGGATTAAACAACCCTGCTATAAACAAGACTAACAAAAAACACAGCTCCTGACAACTTGTTTGTTTGTTAAAACACTTTATTTTTTCATAAAATAAGCTATTTGTGATGTCTTAACAATAACAAATTAAAATTATCTAAAATATACACTCACCGGCCACTTTATTAGGTACACCACGCTAGTAA